TGGAATTAAGACCACGTTTGGTACATAAATTACCAGGAAAAGAATTCTCATTCTAGCTTGAGAGGTATCCCACCTAGAATAGGCTGGATTGCTCATTTTCATTCTCTTGATTGGTTGCTATTATGGAATGACACAAAGGAATGACCAAATCAATTAAAGAACTTCATAATGGGAACTGGGGAATGCAAAATGAAGCCTAAACACGAGTGACAAAAGACTTTCCATTATGGGAGATGGGCTTGCGTATTAGTTGGGTTTGCTTCTACCAAAGGCAATGTTCAGGAAATTGCTTTATGGAACCAAAGCTATAGGCTAAATGTAAAATTAAGACCTTGCCATGAAGTGCACCACAGAAAAGTCCTGTAAAGAAAGGGATGCCATTAATTAATTAATTTTTTTTTTATTTTTTTATTTTAATAATCATGAGTATCCGGACCAATTTACGCGCACCTCGCCTAATCCCACGAAGCCCTAAAGTTTACGGTCGGGTACTCACCTCAGTTTTCCTGAGAGAACTGGAACTGGTGACCATTGAGGAGTAAACCCAAGGTCTAAATATTCTCAAGACAAGATACATCATCATATACAATTCTCATCAATATTTGTGTGTTGTTAGGAAGGAACAGAATCTGGTGTGGAGTGAGGAAAGCAAGCCATGTGTTATTTATATCGCTTTAAAAACAGTGCAAAAAAGAAAAAATTGAGTTGACTACTCACAATCTTGCCATCTCTCTTTGCCTCTGCCATCTTTTGCTCCCAACTTTCCTTTGTTGTGACAAGCTGGACATTTCCACCAGCAAATTCAACATTATGTTCAGAATCATCTCCACCATTAGTAGGCTGCAATACAAGATGTACAATATTTTTTATCAAAGGCGAAATACATGCTTGTAACACAATTTGAGATTCTTGAAGCACCAGTTAGATAAGCTCATACTATGCAATTTGGACTTTGAAATGCTAACAACTGCAGCAACAATTTGTCACTCGAGCGTGTAAAAATTTGCTTGCTTAAAACTTTTAGA